TATAATTTTTGCTCTTTTTCAATATTCAGGAACTTCTTGATTATCACCATTAATAAAAAAGCATTGAGAAAACTGTTCTATTCTAACTTGATTAAGAATGGATGTTTTTAGCATTTATAACCTTCCCAAAAGTTACTAAAAAGGGATTATAAATCTGTAATTGGCTATTTCTTTCAAAAGATTTAAGTCAATAGATGTTAATATTTTAGATATCAGAAAAACCTTTTAGGCATACTACGAAGATTAGGAGATCCATGAGTGTGTTGTACCATATGAAGTATATGTGTATCGTCGTAATGATTTTTCGTATTAAACTATGGCGTAGAACTGATCATGAGTTTGTCCCCTAAAAAAATTTGTTTAAAAAGTTTAAACTTCGGAATCATTCTTTCAATGTATTGATTTAATGATTATCAGTACTAATTATTGCAATACTGATTATTTATAAGCGTCTTTTAACATTACTGCTTGATTTAATTACGCGATTTTTTTTTAAACATAACCATTTGATTACATTTCTAATGATCTCTTCTTACTAACAAATCTATCCTTGAATCTCCAAAATGTCTTTTGTTCGTTGGTTTACGTATATATCATTCGTCCTTATCATACCAGTTTTACCAGTTATTTTTTTCGTAGCTTTAATCGCAGCCATAGTTATTCTTTTCGTGATTTGGATCGCAGTCATAGTGGTATGCTGAACGACTTTATTTGAATGCAAATAATCTAAGACCTCTTCTTACCTCTTACATTATTTTAGTTGCTTCCCATTGCCGGCATTCTTCTTATGATCGCCTTTGTCAGCTATATCGGTTATCTCGGCATATCTTATGTCTCTTCTTTATTAAACGACTCCATGAATTCACCTTCTAGAAATGATACATCTCACGCTCAACCTAACAGTAAAACATCGTCTTCATCCTCAATTTCTAACAATAAAGGAAAACAAAAGGAAACAATTCCTTTTCAATCTCCAAGATCTTCGTCTTCAATTGCTCCTATCATTGGTAAGATCTGCTCACGTGATTTCTGTGATCTTCGTCACTAAATACCTTCCTCAAATTTTTAAATTTTTTAACCAAAAATTTTTCACTTACAACATGTCTAAAACCCTCAAAGCTTATGACCAACAAATAGATCTTGATAATTTAGACCTCGAACGCACTTATACTCTTGAGGAATTTGAATACATCAACAGCCAACTAAAAAATC